CTATCAAAGAAAACATCTATTTGACCGCTCTCGAATGAATGCCTTTAAGCGATTTTTTTTGGTTTGACATCTGTACATACGAACAGAATAAAGAACTCTTTTTTACAAAACGAAGAAGGGATTGTTTTCGTGACGTCTATATATGCCTTTATCTTGCATAAATCGAAAAAGATTATCCGTAGAGCGTTGAAATTTTCTGTATGGAACTGCTATGACATCTAGTTGTGCACCTACATTTTTGTTGCAATCGGCTTCATCAAACGAATATTCATACACGCTCTTAACCCGGTCGGTGAGCCTTGTTTTTATTCTTACATGTTGTTAACTAGTGCATTTTTGCTTTAAAAGTGATTGAATTATGTTGTTGTTATGTTCCGGTTAAGATTTCATAACCTTTAGTTAATCTGCATGCAATAAATGTAGAACAATTTTAAAATGTAAGTCGCGCTAGGCCTAATGGGGCGGCTATTTGTTGTCATTTGAAAACTGAAAGCAGTATAGTGAATTAAGTCAGTTGGTGCCATAACTTTAGTGTCTTTGGGCCCCCAAATGTTAACGTTTTGCGCACCGAAAAATTTCGTCTTTCTGCCTGTTGGCTTCATTGCTTGTTTTGGCGTAGAACCTTTAATTTTAATTTAATTTTTTAAACTGTTTTTAACTGTAATTGGTGTTTTCGTTTTTTCTGTATTTTTTAAATTTCAATGAAGGTGTTTTGAGTTTTTATATATTTTTTCCTTGCCGATTGAATGAAAAATATAGCTTTGATGAAATAGGTTTAAATGAAGTGCAGTAAAAATATCTATAATTTTATAGGCCGTACGAGGAAGTCAATAAAATTAAGGTGCATTGGTCACGTAAGCTGAAATTATTGGTGTCTTCCTATTTCCGCGATTCCTACTTCCGCGGTTGTCAAAAACGTCCCTGTTTCCGCGAAATCATCAATCTTCATTACCCCCTTCCCAAAGGGGTACATAGTGGGGGGCTGACTGGACACTGGCTCCTCCCAAAATGTAGAAAACCAAAAATTTTTAGATTTAAAAAAAAAAAAAAAAAAAGATAGAAGGAAAATCTGAAAGGTTTCAGATTTTAAATCACGTCCAAGGAGGCGTTTTTTAAAGAACATTTCGTCTGTTACCTTTATTTATTAAATATAACGTTCTTCGCACTTAAACCATAAAATTCAATTCAAGAGCGATATCGCAAAATAGTTTTAAATTGAACATATCTTTAGAATTTTCGATAAAGATTCTCGCGCGTTAGGGATAAAAATGTTTTTTTCTGTACAACGTTGCCATTGCTCGCTCTGAAATCCTTGAGTTTGTTAATCAAAAATTCATTAAAGTATTACAAAATATGAAATCGATAATAAAACAAATTCCAAATTTCAAATTTGGGTTTCCACATGCCCATATTCGCAGTAGGATTACGTCATTGAAAATTCTATGGCTCTATGTACCGTTATTTTATCACAATGCGAGAAATATACATACATTTAAGCAGATTTTTCATTATTTAATTTCTTCAAATATAATGCACTAAATATAATGCACTTCAAATATAATGCACTAAAATTACCTCACTACTCTACCGGATCGTCAATTCGCTCACTGTATCATGGTAATTTTAAATATGAGCAATTTATTATACTTATTATCAGTAACGCCTAAACTTAAATGTTATAGACGTAACTTAAAGTAAAGAATTTGATTTAATTTACAATAATAAACATTTATTATTGTTATTTTAAGAGAAAATAGAAAGTACACGTAGTGAAAGCGAGACTACCGAGACTACATTGTGACGTCATAGCTTATTCCCACCCATTTAATGACGTCACGCAGCTCCTCCTACTGAACTTTGTTGATGCAGCCTATTCTGCGCTTTTACCCTGTTTTGAATTCTGTGAATTTACTTCAGGATTGTTTAGAGGAATAAACTAGTCCGATTTATTAATAACTTTAATATTTAACGAAAACTCGAATAGTTGCTACATACTATGAAATAACATTCGTAGATGAAAACAGATGAGATTATTTAAAGATGTAGAGAAACTAAGGTCTTTTAGAATGAACACTGTCTTTCACCTTAATGGAGTTATTGCCCTAATGGCGGAATCGTCTGAATTCTATTCCCCGAAAAAAAAAAAAAAAAAAAAAAAAAAATTCACACAGCTTGCAGAACCATCTAATTGTTGTAGACGATGCCATCCTACATTTATATCAATTATTCTAAAATTTCTTCATTTTTAAAAACGCGTTATAGAACAAACACAATGAACACACTCTAAGACAATCATCCATTTTCCAAAACTTTTTTTTTTTTTTTGTACGGTGCATCATTAAATAAATTTTACATGCTCTTTGTTTACATTTATGTAACTAGCAATAAGTTTTTATGTTGTTTATTTTCATTCTTTGTAGCTAATTCTCAAATAGGGGTATTTTAAACCAAGCATTTTGGAAGCCGATGCTGATTTTTTTCATGTTACACTTAATTCACATTTTAGTTAACAAAGTATATAATCTGAATTTGGTTTCTTTCTCATAGATCATCGAAATATTAAAGAAAATACTGTGAAACACATGAAAATACTAGGTACTAGTACTGGTACTGAGCGCACATGAGCTCAATATTCTGTGATCGCAGAACTACCAGGAAAAAAAAATATATATATATAAAATCAGAGATATTAATTAAAAACTAGGAAAAACGATAATTTTCGCTCTAATTTTTCCGAGAGGCAACAGTCTAAAGAAGCTGGAGATAAAAATTTGCTTTATTTCGAAAGTTGTTGCCATTGCTGGCTTTCAAATCTTAGAGTTTGTTAATAAAAATTTCTTTCTAAGTTTTACGATGAAATAAAAATAGCATTGCCGAACATTAAATAGGTTAGTCCCTATTCCAAAAATTCGTGGGAAGCCATTTCAACTATTCCCATCTCCGTACGACTCTAATCAGCCTAAATATTAATTAAAAACTCTGAAAGCACTAATTTTCAATTTTCGCCCTTCTTTTTTGAGTGGCAACAGTCTCGCGCGTTGGAGATAAAAATGCTTTACTTGGAAGAGTGTTGCTACTGCTCGCTTTCAAATCGTAGAGTTTGTTAATCAAAAATTTGTAAGTTTTACAAAATCTATACATATAAAGAAGAGTGTCTTTTTGTTTGTTTGTTTGCTCACATTATTGATTTCTGATTAGTTGCGAGTAATTTTTTGCCACATTTAATTGACTAAAATTGAATATAGGTAGACATAGACATAAATGTTTTAATTTTCTGGAATAAAAAATGAACAAGAATGTGTATACTTTTCTGGAAAATGGTTATAACGGTGACACTCCACGATTAAGGTATAGATATTCTCGACTTCTACCGGTACAGATGTTACGGTGAAAGACCGAAATCTGGAGAATGTCGACTTTCACCGGTGAATGTCAACATTCACATAGTCTCTTGCTGTATGTCCGAAATATTTTCCAAATACTCTTATTTCTGACTTACACCGGTCAATGTCGACATTCACCATGTACTAATGGTGAATGTTGAACATATAACAATATTATATTTTCTTCTCCGTAATTCAGTAGCAAAAAAAAACGCACTTGAAACTTGAATAAGAACTAAAACATGAGAACCTAAAACACACATACATTCAAAATGAGAAAGAAAATAATAGAAATTAAAACTTACTTAATTATACAGTACGTTCTAAATGAGAAAATAAAATAACAGTAATAAAAATTTACTAAATTATGTGATTCAAATTCACTCTTATTGCAACAACTTAAACTATTATGGCACTTTATGACCTCTCTTTTCGACTTACACCAGAGCATATCTGTGATTGTTGACATACACCGGTGAGGGTCCGAATATACAAGAATGTAGTGCAATATTCGATCTTCACCGACGTATTTGGTGAATGTTAACATTCTCCGGTGAAACTCGACATTCTCCAATTTCGGTCTCTCACGGTAACATAGACATTTGAAGTGATCACCGATGTTGTCAATTACGTAAAAAGTTAATTTATGACAGCAGGTCTAAGCAGTGTGATGGGACATCATCCTCATACTGTACGACATTATGTCACATTGGATGCCATATAATAAATATTGCATGGCATGGAAATGAAATCCGTTCTATTGATTTGATAGGCGTATTTTGATCCTATGCACAATTTCTTTTCATGATGTCTGTGCTTCATAAATTTTCTGAAGTTTATAAATCAAAAATTAGGTTGAATTGATTAATATCAAATTTCTATTTAATAAACATTTTAATTTGATTTGTTCGAAAAAAAATGTAGTTTATTGGGGAAAAGACACTGAATTTCCTTCTGAATTTGGAATCAGTCTTCAGCTTTTTCATATTCGCCATATTTTCTCAACAATATTTTCTTGGAATCTTAAGTAAAGCGTAAAAACTGAACTGAGTGTGATGTCTAATGATGCAATAAACTTAAAATTTATCAAGAAATTGGGAAATTAGGTTGACAAACGAAAATTATGCTATTAAAAGGATGCATAGTTACTTAGGATGGATATTGATCTCAAATTCACGTATTATGTAAGTTTTTTTCTCTCATTAGTGCGTCCCGTCGTGGTGTAACTGAAAAACACGTACGGGTAGCAGTTCGAAAGCCTGGAAATCCCGTTGAGGGCATTGTTGATTCTCGGCATTTTCCGGTTTGAAATAAATTCTAAATGACTTTACAAGTGGCGCCCAAAGTAAGAAGAACGTGAAAGATCATCACTAAGGTTGACAACTGGGTCATCCTTTAAAGGGGGGACGATTGTAAGGTTTTTCTCTCTCCTTACTGTGTGCTTTCAAGTTAACTAGAAAGCACGTCAGAGTACCAAAGGAAAAATCCAGGGAAGACACTGCATATATTTTATGTTTCCTGCTTCTAATTAAAATGCTTAATGGTATCTACAAGTGAACTGTATGAAAAATGTGCCGTTTAGTTTAATACTCATTCATAAAGAAAATACACGAGTGATGAAACAGTAAAAAGATCTATTTATTGATGCAAAGCAGTGTTTTATTTTACGGTTCTTCTACAGAATGAGATATTTTTTTAACGCCTTTTTCCTTCTTATAACGTGTAATGTGACATCAAGACCTCATTCTCGAATTTGCAGGACAATATTCGGCATACTCTTCCCAGGAGCATCCAGCACTTCCGTGGCAACATTCATCAATGATGCCCCTCTTGACAAGCGTATGATGCGGTCTTGACTTTTTGAGGCGACGTCCAAGGAAACTATGTGCTTTTTGGTCATCTAAAAATGGATCTGAAAATTAAAGAATTCTTCTTGAGGTATAGGCATTTAAATGTTAAAAAAAGTCTAAACTGAAAAATTTTAAGAAATGAAGCATTTCTTTGACATGGGAGAAAAGAATTTGCCAGCTTCAAATTTGTGCAATATTCATGTTTCTGAGATTGGTTTATTAATAAAAAAGAACAATCTCAATCTAACACTAGTCTATAAAACAAACATCAATATTTTAGCTCTAATTTTAAATTAGTTCACTAACGATTCACATTTGTGTGCAGGTATACAGGTCTAGAGATGCAATGAGATCGTTTCTAGTCTACCCCCCCCCCAAAAAAAAAAAGCGTATAGTTGTTTTTCCCCAATGTTTAAGAAAACTATGTTTTCTCAAGTCAGGTAAAATAATCTCCTTGGTCTTTTAGACTTCTGTACAGCTCTTTTGGTAGCGACGCTTAATTATTTTATAAACTTGTAAGGTTTATTTTAGTTACTTTTAATCTTGAAACTCTTTCCTTTAAAATTTTGTTTCCCACTTACAACTCCCTACCAGAATGAGTTTTTAGTGTGGCGTTAAATGTAAATGAGGTAGAAAGAGTATTTAAGGAAGGTTAGGCTTACTTCAGTCGAAAAGCTTAGGAGTCCTTAGTGGCACATGTTTGCCGTCAGGCTACTTCGTTCTGGAATCTACTAAGCTTGGCCGTATTGTACGTGCCTGTTGATAATCGCCGGCTAATTTAATTAAGGGCCAACTACGTTAGGTAATTATGTCTAGCTTCGGCTAAGTCAGTTTAGTTTGGTATTAGATTAGTTTTTTTTTATTTTATCTTGTTTTAAAGCCTAAATTTAGGCTTTCTTGTAAGCCCGAGAAGGTGCCAACTGTTATTTATTATTATTTTTTTGAGTGAATAAAAGGTTATTTTAACCCTTCTCTGAACTTGGTCGTTACATACTTGAATTCAGCGATAGACGCTGCAGAGTTCAATAGGTTCCTCTACGTTCAGCATAGGCGAAGTAGCTAGGAACATTTATAAACTTGAGCAGCACAAGCGAAAATATTTTTTTTTATAATTTAGGAAGGACGATGCCCAATTACCGTGAGGTCTAAAGAATGCTATACGATTTCCTACAGTTTAGAAACAACATTATTTAAAAAGAAATTTATAGCTCTAAGAAGATAAAGCTGCAGCATAAACGGCAAATGAGTTTTGGATAACTCTGACAGAATTGTCTTCAGGGCACCTTATTTCACAACATGATGACACTGCGTAGCCAACTGAATCATAAACTCTATTATTTTAGTATTATTTTTAGAAATATAGGATTTATCAATCAAATATAGGATTTATACATCCTATATTTGATGATTTTCAGTACTTCTAAAGCAAATAATTTATACAGTTAAGGAACTGATATACATTATATATGTTTAGATCTCCACAACAGCGGGGGTCTGACTAGACGTTTATTATAGAACTTCTTGATAGGCTTTATGAAGGCAAGCATTTTGAATGATTCCGTCTTTGAAGTGTTGAAGAAACGGAGAGTGTTAATTTTTATAATGATAAAATAAAGTTTTCAACAGGAAAAATTCATGTTGCCCTTTTTATTTCTATTAAATAGGGAACTATTTCTGTCTAAACCTTTACCTCAGAGATTCCCAACCTTTTTCTTGTATCCACCCTTTCTTCATCGACTGTGGTCATCGACTGTGCTTCACCGACTTTCCATGTAAGCGAAATTCTGCATAGCATTACTAAATATAACTGCTGAATCTCTAAAACGAACTTTGAATGGAATTAGCTTTCGTATGATGTAGATTCGTAGAGATCAATAATACGCACCTGTACTTCTTTTCTTTCTACGAACTGCATAGATGTCTTTCTGGCACACCCAGTCCATGTGTACGAGGAGATCGTGATAGCACCGTCGATGACGTTCCGTGTGCCACACAGATCGCCAATCCTCATCACTCCTGTTGAAATAATTAAAACGATTATTTTCCTTTCATCTAAAATTTACAAGATAAATTTCTAACTTACGATGAAATGTTTTTTCTCTCCAATACTATGTACATGAGCTACCTGATCGAAAATAATAAGAAACTTGTTTATAACACTTATTAGGAGTTCCTAATCAATTATATTGTAAGGTGTTTTCTCCTTCCTTTCCGCATGCTTTCGTGGTGTATCTAGAAACACTCTCGACGCGTACTCGAGAGGTCCAGGGTTCGAATCCAGGCGAGGGTATTGTACCTTTTTTCACGTCTCCTGTATCAAACCCTAATAACTCTAAAATCTTCTTTCTTGTCTATCTTTAATTTTACCTTATACATATATTTCAAGCTTATTTTATTATATTAGCAGATGCATGTTATTGATTTTATCACGTTAACAACATTATGTTCCAGCTTGCACATTTTTAGCTGTTTGTTTAATTTACTTAACTCTGTTATTCGGAAATAAATTTTAGTTTTTTGTTTAGTTGAATATGTATTTTTTCAGCTATTAAGAAATAACGTGCCATTCCTAGTTATGCAACTTCAATATCGATGTAATAAACATTTAAGATATTAGGAGAACGAAAGTGTCTTCCAAGCCAGCATGAAAATGAATTCCCAAGTGAAAACGTCCAAGTCAAAGTGAAAAATTGCTTTTTCCAGGTAACTTTCAGCTGACACCATCCAAATTCATCATCCGTCAAACTACCAAACGTCCAAGAGTCATTTTTCTTTTAAGGTTGAGAGCTTTACACTGCTTGAGTATTCCTCAGAGTCGAGTGTTGTATTATTTCAACCAACGCATGATACCGTTTGTTATGATGTTAGTCATCTAAAACCTACCTTTCTGCACTTTTTTTGACAAATAACAGAGATTTCCAGAGATATTTCGGAACTCATTGCATTCAGAATTCAATCTAGAATAAACAATTTAGTCTCTTCATCCACTATAAAATCTGCAGATCTTTGTACATTACATGATTTATCGATTTCGAATTAAACTGCTGTTGCTGTTAAACGTTCTCGCTTGAAAACGATTTCTTTTCAAGTTGATAAGAGAGCTATAGTTCAAAAAAGTTCCATCACCGTGCTTGTTGAGGCTAAAGAGACATCCAGACCCTAGAGACCGCAAAGAGGTATGGTTCCTCAAACAGGCTAAAGGGACATGGATAGTGATCATATTGTTACGAAATGTCAAGGAGTTGTTACGTTTTTCTTCTGACACCAGTTTACTTTCTTCCTTCACGTTCGTACGGGGTTCGTGGGGATTTGGAGTGAATAATGACAATACTACTCGGTGAAGTATCGAAACACACTTTATTGGCCAGTATTGTAGGACAGCTCCAAAACACATTTTTACAGTCGTCGATGAACTACGCTGATACGATCAGCGACACAGCCTCCACAATTATTGCATAATAGTGTCAAGGCGCGGTAAGGTAGCTTCCCCACAATGCAAGTTTAGGGTTGCCATAAAATGGCAAAGAAAGGCAGGGTTGCCACATTTGGCGAGAAATCGCCCATTTGGTGACATTTGGCGACAAAATTGGCGATATCCAATGGACGGATGGAGAACTTTCTGGAACGAAATCTTACCGGTTTAGCCCAGAATGTTCTCGAACCCAAGCCGAAAGCTATATAAATCCTGCTGATCTGTAGTCGGAGAGAATGTGCCTCGTCTAAAGTGAGAGTGCGAGATAGTTAGTATCGAGTTGGTGTCTCGTCTAGCGAGTCAATCCCTGCGGAGTCGATCGAGTTGACAGCCAGGCAGCGAGTGCCGAGTGAGTCGTCGAGTGCACTGAAAGAATCTCGGAGTGTATCGCGGTTAGTGCATCGTCGAGAGAGCGTGTTGAGCTCCGGGAACGACTGAACCGAAGAGTCGGGAGTCGTGCTCTGTGTGTCGTCGAGTGCATCGCGAGTTGTAGCATGCAGAGTCTCGAGAGTACGTGGAGTTCCGAGAACGACCAAGCAGAGTCTGGAGCTGCACTCTAGTGCTTTGCCGTGAAGCTGTCTCCACCGTGATAGCCTGATAACCTGGAGGCTGTGCCGCTGATCGTGTCAGCGTGTTTATAGTAGTTCATCGACGATTGTAAAAATGTGTTTTGGAGCTCTCCTGACAATACTGGACAATAAAGTGCGTTTCGATACTTCATCAAGTAGTATGGTCATTATTCACTCCAAATCCTCACTAACCCCGTACGAACATGAAGGAAGAAAATAACGTAACAACTGGTGTCAGAAAAGAAAAAACGCAACAATATGTTTTGATAGTTTATTAAATGGCTGAATTTAGGTGTACATCATATTCTATATACAACACTTGTAATCTCTACTACAACACCTAAATACCTCTTTTTTCTCTAAAATGTTTATGGCTATAACTTATGCGATTAAATTTGTTTTAAAGTAATATGCGAATGTCACAATCAGATAGTTTAAGTCTCAGTTATATATACTATAAATATATCAAATTATAACTGAAATGCAGAGATTCAAACTATTATAAATGATACAAATATTAAAATCTACAGAATATGATCTATAAATGACGTAATATAAAAATTTGGAAGTTTTTTCTTATCAGTGTATATACGAAAACAGTACTATTGTTTTCTTAACATGTGTTAAATAAATGATATTAGTGAAGCAACATTGCGTTGCTTCTGAATGATTGTACTATGCCGAGAAAGTTTTCTATTTATTCATATATACGAGTATTATATTCATTTTTTTTCGTGAAATTATTATTTATAAGTCAATGCATTTGGGAAACTATTGAAGATTTATTACTTTATGTTAATATATCAATATGTAGCGTAAAAAATCTTATTTATCAAATAAAAGCGAACATAAAACAATATTTTGAGCTATTCGTTTCATTAAATAAAATTTATATTTATGCTGTAATATATAAGTCTATTAATTCTGTCGTCCTATAAATCGAAAAAGTTCTGTAATAGTTGTAGCAGAAATATCATCATTGAAATTGCCTTTTTTTTTTTTTTAACATAGTATGATTACTAAATGGTGATTTTATTTTGAAACTTGCGTCTGTGTTGGGAATCAAAATACGTTTCTATAAGCTTCTATAAAAAGAGAAATTTTTAAAAATATTTCTATATACTATATAACTTTCTGAGCAAAATATCCTTTATTTGAGTTTTAGATAAGATAAAAAATGCAAGATTTTATATTTATTTTTAAAAGAGCATCGTTTATAACGCAGCTAGAGGGCAAGCCCGCCAAATGAAGGGGCTGCGGCCAAAACAAAATTTATAAGTTCTACTATGTACACTTGAAATGAAAATGCACAAAAACATTTCAATGTGAATAAAATCAGTTCATTGTTTCCAAGCAACAACCAATTCGTAAATAATTTTTTGTTGCCAAACTAGGAAACAAAAACTTTTGACACTTCAGGTTAATACGTCAAACTACCACGACGTCATGATTTAAATTTAATGTAATATAGTAACCTTTTCTCAATACCAGTAAAAGAACTAACGTGGCAATAACACATCGTGTTAATAATCCTAACCTGAAACGAAAAAGTTGCCAACAGCAGCTTTTTATTCAAAATACTGACATTAACGAAAAAGTTTCGACATACAATGATGTCACATGCAATCATGCGTGCTTTTTTCAACGTCAGAATATGGCCTTATATTAAGCGTTTGGTAATGCTAATATATTAAATATTGTTGTGCCTGTCACATATATCGAGAATAGTCACTGCCGAGAAGGGATGAAATTATTCCCTTACAGGAGAATCTTTTCTCCTCTATTCGATTTGCATAAATGTTCCTACCTAGCTTCAATAAATGTCTTAACTTACCGTGAAATAAAAACAATCTCACTTGTATAACTGCAAATTCCCCTTCGTAGCAGACTTTTTATAGACATATCGATTATGCAGAAATATGTGGTTACACAAATGCGATATGTACTGCCACACGCATTAAAAGTGTCTCAAACTTCAAGGGTAATTATGAGAAATTTTATAAGAAAGTACAAATTTCTACCGAACGGCCTCATGTTTTATAAAAACGGTTTGAAGATTAAAAACTGTAAAATGAAAGCATTTCTTTCTGAAATATGGCACTTCAAAGTATTTAGTTAACGAAAAATGGAAGCTTCATTTCAAGAGTTGTCAACGTGACCCTTGTTATTGTTGTTGCTAATGCTCACATGTCTGATCTATACTCAGTCCAAGCCCGCAAAATTCCTCGTAGCAAGGATTGCAGGTTTACGCCTGTCGCTAGCAACAGCCTTGAGCACCTTACAGGTGACAGTGCGATTTAGCTCAGTTCTGCCCCCCGCCATTTTGATAGAGAACATCCCGATGCGACGGGTCCAACCCTCTTCCCCTAACATCAACCTGAGAGGAATTTCGGTTCGCCACATATTTAGAGTGCCCCCATGCCGCACGGACACTATACACTTACAAACATCTATGCATTCTCCGGGCGAAGCTAACCACTATACCGGTTGGGCGGCGCGTGAATCTTTGTAATCCTCACTACTTCATTGTTGCTTATCTAGCGGTTAAAAATGAATTGAAACTTTGAAAGCGAAATGTAACATCGAATGATAGGTGTCTAAATGTACCTAGCTTTAAAAATGTTTTCCCATGCAGGATCCACATCCACCTCGGCAGCTATGGTGAGCCAAATAAGACATAAGATAGCGCTGCTGCGCAAGGATACCAGAGCTACGCCCATTGTATCTGAAAAAGAAATATAAAATAATCAAATAGAAGAAAAAACACTTTGGAAATAGATTGAAGCAAATAACATGTTATAATAAATTTATAGCATCCAATTAAATTACGTATTTGATATTCCTCCAAAATAAAGCCACTGGTTTTACTATTACATTCATAATCTATAGCCCTTATGAGCGATACGCTGAAAAAAATATACACGATACACAATATGTATGATTTCCTTCATCTGCCAATAAACCCCATACAATATAGGACATATTAATAATTATGATAGCTGTGTACTCATATAGATAAACTAAGACAATGTTTATGTGCGAAGATAGCCCTACAATTCGCAGATTTATAATTTAAATCACTTTCAGGCAATAGTAAAGCGTTGATTTTAATGCGGAATATAAAAACTGAATTTCATGAAACATAAAATTTGACAGGAATTTATAAAACAATTTTTCTGTTAACTTATGTTTGTTACATTAAATTTTATGTTTACCTCTGGAAAATTTATCTTTTAAAAATTTGCATAATAATTGTGAGTAACTGTTTGCAGTAGCTATGTTTGTTTCATTCCATTTATTAAATTAGAGCCATGAATATATGACCAGCCATTCGAAGGCTATCTGCCAGTATAGGTAAAGTTACTTTTATCTTAATTCGCCTGTTGTAAACAAGAAATAGAGGTAAATAAATTTTTAAAACTTTGAATTTCCGAACTTTAATTTTATTACTATAAGATGGACTTAAACCCCTATTTTTTGTGATTTTGCTAATCGCAAGTGACCTTTTCCATATATATTCCATATATACCATATGTACCCCATTGAAGCTAAAAGCAGACATTTTTTTCTGTAAATTATTTTGAAAACAAACGGTTAGAACATGAATTTTAATATTTTTCAAGAAAGAAATGATAAGAATAATAAGAAATATACCTATGTTACATAAATATGAACGGCATGAATATTTCATGTACACAAACGGACCGATTTTTGAGAGTTATTTGATTTACTGAAACTTTCTCTATAAGGTATTTCTCCCGCCTTCTTGGCATGTCTTCGTGGTGTGGTGGTCTGCACGCTCATCGCATAATTGAGAGCTCCGTGGTTCGATTCCCGGCGAAGGCGTTGCATATTTTTCATCTTGCCTGCTCCCATAAAAAATGCCTAATGTCTCTACAGTGGCGCTCGAACTAAAAGGGTGTTGGGTGATGATTCTCCTCACCCAGGATTTGGCGACTGGGTCCCCCAAAAACCCCAGTCGTCCTTTGAAAGGGGCAGTATATAAGGTATTTCTCCCCCCTTCTTGGCATGTCTTCGAGGTGTGGTGGTCTGTACGCTCAGCGCGTAATTGAGAGGTCCCTGGTTCGAAGATTCTCGGCGAAGGCGTTGCATATTTTTCATCTTGCTTGCTTCCAAAAAATACCGAATATCTCTACATCTCTGTGAAATATTGCACATGATATGTCGCAGAAATCATTTACGGGATTCTTTAAAATGGCAAGCAGTTGGCAAGCAATCTTCCCTATGAAACAAATAAATATTACATTTTTATTTTCTTATTCCGAAAATTGCCTTAAGATGATGTATTAAAAAATATATATAATTTTGTTTTGGAAAATGAGATTTTAAAGATAAAAAGCGCTGTTACTGAATTTTTTTATCGCTGGCTATGACAAATCTCTTATTATACTAAGTTATTATGCGTATTATAAAATATATTGTCCTTTATAAAGTGATAAAAAAGGTATGCGCGGAAATGTTACCATAAATTCAAAGATAAATGGTTGAACTTAAGTTCTTCTTTGTAATCTGAAACGCTTTCAATGACTTGTAGGGATTATTATCTTTTTGAAGCAGAAAGCTGAAAAAAAAAAAAAAAAAAAAAAAAAAAAAAAACTAAATTAATCGGTATAAAATAAATAATCCATATTAAAGATTATTATGTAATAAGGATTACTTTAGAAACTATTTATAACCTTTCATACGGATTTACTATTCTTATTATGTAACAGGGATTACTTAAGTTGTAGGGTTTATATTTATTTTAACTAACATTTATTTTAAGTTTAAACTATCTTTCCTGTCAAGCCTTACTTTCCCCTGGAACTGCCAATGCCAGAGTATGTAAATTTTAGTAGAACGCGCAAGGATTCAAATTATCAGCGGAAGTATTCTGATTTAAATAGAAAGGAAAAACGAGTTCGAGAGGTGTGATGATTTCTTACTTCACGAGCGCGGAGGTAGTTGGCAGAGCCATGAATTGAAGAACCCCGCGTTTCGGCCTGTGTGCTTGCCTGGAAGTAGTGTTAATCGTTCAAGTGATCTTCAAGTTTGCTGAATTAGCAGCGGTATTGTAAAACGCGGTGAGTTAGTTACTTTTAGACAGCCTCGTAGTTAGAGTCTTGCCTTTAGTTTCTTTTCAGGTTATTATTTTTATTTGACCGCCGAGTTGGCGCAGTTTGTGAGCGTCAAGAGCACGCACTTGTAATTTATTACGTTGAATAAAAAGGGACTTAAACCCTTAACAAGACTCTGTCTTTTTATCCAGTTTTCACAGTCACCTCTTGGTTGCGTGCAAGTTGGAGGCGCGCAACGCTACAAAGTTATCCTAGTAAACTTGAGTAATCCCTAATACATAAGAAGTTCATGCATTGGAGGAATACCATTATACGTTGCAGACTGATTTAAGTTAAGTTTAAAGGCTGTTTAACTTTCTTATTGCAAATAAATTTCCTGCTTTTCCGTATCTTTATTCTATGCCTATAACAGGAATTTAACTGACCAAATTCTGCAGCATTATTTCAAAATTTATAAATATTATTAGTGAACTCTGCGTGTTGATCCAAATGCTGTGGCATTACGGTATTTTCTACAAGTAGTTTTTACCAAATATTACTATTTTTATATAAATATAACAGCTGAACAAGAGGTAATTACTCCATCATAGAGAAATTGATTCTGCATGAAAATACTATGCTTTGAAAGGTTTATTTGCGTTAATTAACCAGTTATTTTATGTTCCGAATCTGTACTGTTATTCTCTCTTTCCATTTTCCTGCCAGAATGCAAATTAGCTCGTGTGTAGTTAAGTGAGGGTTTGAGATTGCTTAGACAGAGCTTGTTCTGCCTTCTGAAAGCCATGTTGTTAATTGTTATTCTAAGCATTCATATCTACGGCATTGCTTTATTTTTGCCGATTGTGCTGTCTCGCCGGTAGAGGCTTAAGAGCCAATTTCCGCAATTAAATATCTCTGCATAGCCTTTGGCTAATAACTACTCAGATTTAAATTTAAATTCACGCCATAAATTCCGGCTAATTTGTAAATATCAGGTGTGCTTTCTATTTAACTTACTTAGTTTTGAATAAAAAGGTCTTTTACACCCTTCCTACATTTCTTTTTCTTATCAGACACAGCAATTAATCGCTTACACGTCAACTGGAGGATTTGCCACAAATTACATTTAGTTAAGGCACAATCCCTACAGCTTGATGAGGAAAATATGACAAGAGAGAAAAATTAACCAGATATTTAGCTTTAACAGGGTGAAATCTATGAAAAGCACACTAAATCATTGCAGAGCATTATTGTCAACTCGATACAAAATATTGTAAATTCAGTGCAGAACTGTGTAGTTATAGTTTAGAATAATCATGTTCTCTTAACACTATTATCAAAAGTAATTTTAACTCCGCTTTTATATATAGACTGACAATTATTTAGATAAGCAAAATTTGTTTGTTTCTGTTCTTTATTGCCATCTTTAAATAAAAAGATGACAGCAAGGGGCAGAAAGATATAATTTCTCAAATAATTATTTAAAATAAAGGCAATCAATTGAAGAAGTTTTCGAAGTCACTACTTCTGGAGACGATGACATAATATAAACGCAAATAACTTCAAAAATAATCCTTTGGGAAGAGATGTTGTAAGATGTAATATATTTGACTAGCATGAAATGGTAACTAGATCTATTTAAAGTTCATACCTGGCGACTACGTACAGGCGGGAAGATGAACACAACAGGAAAAGTGTGTAAAAACTCTTTATTTATCTCAAACTGGATAACAAAAGGCACCGACTAATACGGGCTTACACAAAAACACCGTCCACTTGACGTGAGAACTTAAAAGTAATTTTACAATAAATTTAAAAATAGAGATGTCGTGCTTGATTATACAACTCAATTTCATCTAACTTGCTGACTCAAAAACCTACACTGGCGAAATACCAACTGGATGGGCAGAATGGGTACTCTCTACTAAGATTAACAACTGAACAAAATAACGAACGTGCGTTTCACTGGCGAAATCACGTTCTGTCTAACTGTTTTGTTCCAACCATTTAAATAATCTCGTTCATCTGCTTAATTTACATCGTGGCGAGGAAAAGCGAGGGGGAAGAGGAGGATTCGGGAAAGGTTCAAAAATTAAAATAACTGTTAGTACATCTAAACAGGACTCTATACTGTGTGGTCAAATATAATGTGTGGTCACTAAGGTCTTTTACTCAAGAAAAATGTTTCCAGAAGTTTGAAAAATGAAGTATGCTGGGACGTTATTAGTTCCAACAGGATGGTGTGCGCCCCGAAAAGAAATCGGATTGTTCCTGATACGTTTTGTTCGACATTCAGGACAAAATTTATAACAAGTCATAACATTCGGCTACTCAAAGCACTATCCCAACAGTATTTGCTGGCCTCTATGCTTCTCACACTCGAGCCATTTGTTATTTTTTTTTTTTTTTTTTTTGGACCAAGTCAAGGCCCCAAAACAAATTGAGTACAGTACAACGGACGTTACTGATGATTTTGATAATCTCCATAGCGATATTTTATCAAAGGTAATTAATAATTACATCACTCATCTTCATCATGTCATCTTTCGTAGAGGCAATTGATTTGAAAATTTCTTCAGCTGATTGCTTTTTATTTCAAGTAGACATGTGAGAAGTTTATATATCCTTGTATCTCTTTTCTTTGTTTAAATAACAATCGTCATTATAC